GACGAGGCCGACAAACTCTCCTCCTCACCAACTCCAACACCTTCTACATCAGAACACACACATACACCCGCACCATCCCCCTCTGCTTCTGGTGGCGTGTCACTGGCTTCTTCTGGCTTCTCTTGCCTGCAGAATCTCCAGTCAACATTGTCATGGCTGGTGAGACACCAACACCGAAGAGACCGGAACATGCTGCTGTCCCTCCTTCCGCTTTTTTTCCAGGTGAAAGGGAGCGATTTGCCGGTCTTTTGGTTGCGATTGCATCGGTCCTTTTCCACGCAGCCAGACCGGAACGACTCCATTTTCACATCTTCCTACCGCTAGATGAACTCGACTGTTTCGAGAGGGCAATCGAGTGTTACATTTTTCGGAGCAATCGAACGCGATCGGCACACATTAACATCATCCCCCTGAACGCATCGGGTCCAAGCACCAGCCCTCCATGTCATGCTTGGGTCCTTCCTGCCCACATGCACCTCAATTTCTTGATGTTCTACATGACCCGCCTTCTCCCGGCCGCTCGATTCGCCATGTGGCTAGACACAGATGTTGTTGCCCTCGCCGACATTTCTCAAATGTACGGGGCGGCAGTCGAGGGCTTGGCTAGACCCTGGGACACCATCATCAGATCCGCGATCACGACCCCCTTTTTCCGTTGCCGAACAGGAACAAGTAGTGCAGCGAGTTGGTTAGTCTTATATCCTCTTCGAATTTGGTCTTCAGGCTCTGGTGCAGGACCTGGGAATACATTCGGAGACGTTCTCACCGGAATAAGACTGAGTCAATGGCGCCCCCCACATCATTTTACCAAGGGGGAACGAAAGTCGTTCAGGTCCTTCTGCGACGATGGAAACCAATTGCGGTCCCAATGCATCGACACTACCAACCATTAAGAAAGGCCTTTTCTGACCTGGGATGGCAGCTGTGTACTCGCCTCAACGTCGACCCAAAGATGTCTCGCACTGTCAATCCAGGGGTGGCAATTCAGGCAGAGAACGGATACACAATTGACCCCAAATGTTGTTGACTGTATGCCTCCAGGTGTTCGTGGCGAATCTTTCTCGACTGCGTCAGTTGCGGGTTACTGAGGTGGTGGAACGAATCGCTGAGTATATTCGAGAGCACTCCGCATTGCAGGGCAGTGGCATCCATACGGACGAGGCCACTTCGCTGCCATTTTCCGTTATTTCAAACAAGTGGGGAATGGTCAGACTGGATGAGACATGGAACGTGCTGCGGTCAGTAGTAAGACACAAGGCCAACGCTGTTTTCGAAAGATAAGAGAATCTACGAATCAGGGCTGGATATCGCAACACGACACTGTCACCAGACGCACGAGTGCTGCACTACACTGGGCCTTGGAAGCCTTTCTGGAACGCAAACAATGCGGTAAGATGGGCAATTCGCTTAATTGATACCAGCGACGTTCTGTCTCTAGCTTCTACTTCAGGATTCATGGATGTGGTACTACAAAGAGGATTGCTGTTTGTGCTGCCCGAGGCTGCACCGGACTCGCAGCTACGGCGGGACTGACAAATATGAAGGGGAAGGTGACGTGACGAATGTGGAAGAAGATGAGGATGAGAGCGAGATGGACAACGAGGACGTGCCAGAGGAGAGGGAGGCAAGCCGAGGAGGTGGTGGTGTCGCTGACGATGATGATGATGTCTCATCTATGTCCGCTCTTCGGCGCAAGCTCGGACAACGTTCGGAGTGGCTGCTTTGAGCACTCTCATACAAGACACTAGTGACGTTTTGTCAATGTATGACATGCGACTCAATGCAGTTGGATGTTATGGGATGCGCTCGCTTCGCCGATTGCTATGGGATGCATGGTCTATGGGACCTTGTGGGTCCCTTCTCCACTTCAGGCTCATGAACAATTCGTCTGTCTGTCTGACGATGCAGCTGCGAAGGCGAGGCCCTAGCATGAGCCCCTCCCTCGGTTTTCATTGGTGGTGAGCACTAAAGTGGCGCCGTCTCTTTCAGATGCCCTCGGATGGACACTGAACGGCTGACAGCGATCCCCTACCGCTCGCCGACGGCAAATGAAGCGGAACCAGGTCTTGGCGCAGAAGATAGTGTACTACTCATCGAGCATTGCAATCACTGCAAGCAATGCCATGCGCGCGACCAGTGTTGTGTGCACACGGGATCTTTCTTCGAAGCTCGGGCGCATTCGTGTCTTTGAGCTCATCGTCCATTCTTTTGTCCCAGGGTGCCATTCACGCCTTCCTCAATGCCCTTACAGCCCACGTGCCCCGACCTCACTTGCAGACGGACGTGCTAAAACAAAGAACACAACGAGCTAGAAGCCGCCAGCCACGTACACCCAGGCGAGGCAGGCAGGGACACACAAGCTCGCTTGCAGACCGAGACTATGCAAAATCAGATGGCCGTGCTAGACCTATTTGGCCATTAAGTCATGCCGCAAAATTCGATCATTCATTCGATCAGGCGCAAAAGAAAGGGGTGACTGCAACTGAGCCGTGTCCTGGTTGGCATGACCGTAATACATCTCCACGGCCCTTCAGAGTTTGAGGTCTTTGGCGGTGTCCCACAACGTCTGGGCGCTCTTCTGCAACTGAGCCTCCTCGCTGCGAATGACGCAAGACAGAGATGACATACACGGCCGATGTATGTATCCGTTCTCGTTTACTCTTTGGTGAGTTGCAGGGCAATGATCTTCTGGACACCAACGGGGCCCGCGACTGAAAGGACAGGCCAAAAGACAGCAGTGAATGGACGCGCCGCAGTGACTTCTCCTCTCAGTGCTGCCTGCTCACTGGTGGGCAGCGCCAGATACATGTCCTCGTCAATGCCGTGCAGACCCTGCACACACACGGACAGGACACGCACCATCAGCACGTGGCCGTGTTGCTTCGGGCAGGTGTCTGCCTGTCTGTGTACCTACCTACCTTTGCGTGTACGGAGAGGACGTGCGTGTTGCGTTCGTTTCTGAGGAGTGTGCGGACAACCTGCGCGACGCTCATGCCGATGGCCCAGGAGGTGTAGCCCTTCGCCTTGATAACGTCGTACGCACTACACACACAACCCCATGCTCGACGTGAAGATGGATCGAATGCTCTCGTCCATGGAAACAACACACCCGTTGACGACTTGGGTGTGGAGCTCTCCCCAGTTCTCAGGGTCGTCCTTCATCCCTGCCTTGGGATTCAGGTCGCGCAAACGCACACCGCAGGCCGTCATACTCGACCACACCGGCACTGCAGCCAGAAGACACAAGCAGCACACAGGAGGCATACCGTCTTGTGCCAGTATGTGAGTGCGCCGCACCGACCGCTGGAGTCTCCGTGCTATCCGATGATGTATCCATGGCAGTTGGTCGCGGCCACACCCAAGCGGTGGCTCATGAAGGTGCGCAGACTGAGCATGACGTACCGCAGGGAAAGAGACACGGGGGAGATGGAGGGCACGGCGCGAGTTGGTTGCTTACCGGGAGGAGTCGAGGTTGGTTCCCGACCCGATGACGCGTTCCTTGGGCAAACCGCTCAGCTTCCATGCCACCCACGTCAGGATGTCCACTGGCCAGTCGAGCAGAAGGACAGGCAGCACAGACATATACAGCCACGCGGAAATGATCAATCCAGTCGGGTGGACGAACATCCACCACTGGCATCAACTCATATTGAGCCCGTCCACTCACCAGGGTTGGAAACGATCAGGAGGATACAGTCGGGACTGCACAGAGAAATAGACACATAGACAGAAACACGGAACGCATCGACATGACGTGACATGACGGGGCTCTGCGTGTCTCCCCAGCGATGGTGGCTCACCTGTGCTTCACCAACTCGGGGATGATGCCTGCATTGAAGAGGGCGCGACACGGATTGCGTGGAGTGTTTGTGCATGCAGTGGTGGTGTTGTGTTGTGTGCGTGCGGGCCTGTCTGTCTGTCTGTCTGCGTGTCTGTCTGAGTTTATCACCTTTGAAGATCTCGACATTGCGCTGAAGCAGGTTGAGTCTGCTCTCGCCCTCCCGCTGTCTGGCGCCAGCCGTCACCACACACACGCTGCTGCTGTGCGTGACGTCGTAGGCTGCAGGCACTCACACATCCACACGTACAGTCAGTGCATCGCCTTAAGGTCCCCTGCATGCGTGTCATCTCACTGGATGACGCTTCAACTTTCAGGCCGCCACGAACAAAGGCGCTGGAATGCTCCAGGTCCAACGCCTCGCCTTTCACCTACACAGACGGAAACACAGCACAGGGCAGAGCAAGCAGCCATGGGATCCGTGCAAGCATGCATGCCACTTTCTCTCGTCTGCACGTGTTGAGACACCGCTTTACGTGCAAGAGGGTGCTCACCTTGTCTTCCTGCATGTCCACGAGGGCGAGATGGTGACTCACACCTGCACCACACCACAAGTAGGGGAGGTGTGACCATACTCAGCAGCCTGCACAGCCACTGGGGCGCTCGGCGCTCACCCTGGGCCATGATGGCATAGGCACACGCCATCCCGACTGAGAGAAGAAGCCCCACACAACAAACCCCCCTTCCGTCAACCCCCCTTCCGTCCTCAGTTCGGCCCTGGCTTCCCTCCCTGCCCGTCGTGTGCAATGCGCCGTACCTTGTCCGGCTCCCACGATGGTCACCTTGTCAGTGATGATGTTGCCGGTCTTGGGGTTGACATGAAAGGAGGCTATCTGCTCGGCGAGCTGCAACGCGTTGGGCGACGCCTCCCCCTTCTCGAAGAGGGAAGGGCGACGCTCGCGGGACGAAGGCGAAGACATGGCGGCCGAACTCGAGCAACCTGACCCTATGGCGACTCAAACAACCGCCAGTTCGGGACCCGCGAAGCTTGCTGAGCGTGGCACGCTCTTACGAAACAAAGTGTCCGCAATTGGGGCCAAGCTAGCACTTCCTTCGGTTCCTTGCGGGGGCTTGCATGCGAGCTTGGGGGCTTTGCATGCATTTCGGGGAGCGGCGAAAGCGTAGCGAGTCCCGCCAGCCCGACGGAGGAGGGAAACTTCATGTGCGCGAAGCAGGACTTTCCCGGTGGGGGCCTCTGGGGGCCTCCATTGTGCCATGCACCGTCACCACACGCACCATGCATCGTCACACCCCGCAACCACCTCCACACACTGGCCAATCGCAGATCTATCTATCGGGTCAGTCCAATCAGCGATCAGTCAGTCGGCGCCGCATCTGCCCCATCATCTGAGTCATCCTCATCATCCCCTTCGCTGCCCTCACCCTCGTTGCCACTGTCGCCTTGACCCACTGGCTGTCCGCCCGCCGCCTCCACCTCGTCCTCGTCCTCGTCGTCATCGTCTTCTTCTTCTTCCTCAGGGTGCTCCTCCACTACTCGCACCGCTCGCCGGCCACGCTTCCCTCCAACGTGGTACCCGCCACGGCCACGCTTGGGGGGACGGCCGCGCCTTTTGGGAGGCGGAGGAGCCTCGCTGCTCAGCTCATCTTCCTCACTCTCAAGATCCAGGTCGTGGAAACCGCTGCACGGGTGGATAACGACGATAGATGTAGAAATCGGGATGCAGTGCTCTGTATGTGCTCACGCTCTTGTGAGAAGCTCCTCTGATGGTTTCCAGCCCGACAGCTGGATAGCGACCTGGACGGCCTTGGTGCCGGCCTGCGACTTGGCCATGCGCGGCCCAAAGAGTTCGAAGTTCTTGTCTGACTTCCAATCCATGACCCTGTTGCCGCCCACCGTTGTCCACACGTACTGGTTGTCGTCCAACGACAAGACTGCACACACGAGCGAGAGAAGCAAGAATGCACAGACAGACAGTGACGGGCGTGTCTGACAGGCAGGTACTTGACCTACTCAGGTGTGCGTCGGGTCTTCTCAGTACTAAGACGTCGGGGCCGAACCTGACGCGCGGATCTGCTCAGCAACGCAGACCGCACCCACATGGTGCCAATCTTATCTCTGTGTGTGTGTGTGTGTGTGCGCTGTCTTGTCTTACTTTTGTCGTCCGGGTCAACAACGAGTCCTGGCAGCATGCGACCTCTGAACCGGTACCAAACCACCTCACCAAACCCTGCACATAACATACAACAAACAACTTATAGCAACCTCCCATCTCGGATTACTCTCCTCACTTTCTGTCTCTTGCGGCTTCGAGTCGTCCTTTGAATCCTCCGCTGCTGGCAGCAGCTGCTGCTGCTGCTGCTGTTGCTGTTGCATTAGTTGTTGTTGTTGCGTATTAGTCACGTGTTGCAGCATTGTTATCTGTCTGATGAGGGACGATGGCGACTGCTGGGCGAGCTGCTGAGGGGCGCTCATGGAAGCCAGAAGTGCCGCCATGGTGAGGCGTCCATCGGGAGTGCCCTGGCGCATGTCGACTGTCGGTGGTGGTGCAGGGGAGGAAGAGGGAGCAGCAGGGGTGGTGGTGGTCCCCCCAGCGCCCGCCATGACGTGGTGCACGGCGTCTTGGTCGGGCGCGAGTGACGGTGGGAGGGTGGAGCGACTGGCTGGTGGCGGCTTCTGTGCCGTATCTGTGAGCTGTTGACGCAGTTGGCGGCAGAGGGCCTCCCGCCCGAGGAGTTCCAGCCGCCCGTCGTCAAAGAGGATGGAATACGCTGAGGCAGTCGACAGGTTGGTAGTCATCCACCGCTGCTGAGCCACACGACCGACAACCAAACCTGAGGACACACACACAGTGTCGGCAGATATGCTGGATCTCGATGAATGCGGTGAGGTGCTGACCGCAGATGATTTCGTCCGGCTGTCCGGGAGCCATTTGCCTGCGCTTCCACACCAGGCGCCCCACGAGCGGATCATCAGGAGAGGCATTCAACATGAGAGAGGGACGCGAACTGCTCGAATGGTGATACATGGTTTTTTACTCCGTCGCTTATCTGCCCTCAGGGCCTCACGCCACACCCTGGCACCCTTCGCCGAAGGGTCCTGCCATGCGAGCTTAGCTCGCGGACCGATCGCGCGAATAAGACAATTCTAGCGTCGACAATTCAAAACCGTCAGATGGATGCACAAGAAGAGCCCAGCGCGACCATGAGTCGGCCGACTCGAAACTGGAAAAGCTGCAGCTTCCTGGTCTTCATTGCATTGCAAGTCGGTAGTGCCGCAGCGGCACTGCACGATGCACAAACGAGCTTGAAGTCGCTGGTTGATGATGGCGAGGAGAGGGCGCGTGTACAAGTCGCTTCGGGTGGGCAGTTAACCGCTGACTGTGTGGCCTTCAGTGTGAATGCTGAGGTACTGACTCTCGTGGTGGGGGAAGACCAATCGCCGCTGCAGTGGCGGGACGCGGACAACAGGCTCGTCTTTGTCTCAGAAAACCATCCGCCCAAGAAAATTACAAAGTACAACGGCCCCATCGGGTCATGGCCGTCTCTGTCTCTCTCTCTGTACTCTCTGTATGACAGAGTGGATGCGGCGCTGGGCTCGTCAGTGTGGCTGGAGTTCGGCCCTGGAGCCTACTTTGCGATGCCTCCAGGGCCGCATCGGTGCTTCCAGCTGCTGGAAGCACCGACGATGTCATTCTCGCTCGCGTTTTTCCTTTCGTCGAGCAGCATCTGGGATGACTCGTCTCCCCAGGTGCTGCTCGACGCCGGGAACGGCATACAGATCGGCTTCATGTCAGCGCCGAATGACCCCGACATGGTGCTGTTTGGGATAATTGGCTCGAGGGCCGCTCTGGTGTGCTGGAAAGACAGAGAGGGGGCCGTATATCACGTGACGGTGAGCAACGGACAGCTCGAAATCCACCGATGGGGAGTCCAGGTTCTGAAGCCGACGCGTCTGGCCTTATCACTTCTGCGCCGATGACGGGCTTGTCGGCGTGGACACTGGGATGCGACGCCGGTGGGCGACACTGCTTTGAAGGGCGGCTGAGGTATCTCCACTTTGTGAGGGGGGGAAATGAAAGCGGGGCGTTGGTCGACAGCTTGGTGCGTGAGAGCGTCACGGAAATTGTGGAGAATTTGGGTCAGCGCGATTAGAGACACGGACGTAGAGGCTGGCGCATGCGTGTAACTCTTTCCGTGGATTGGTCAGGTCTTGATCACTACTGCGGAGATGGCGCTGTGGATGACGTCTCAGAGGAGTGCGACATTGCCCTCTCGCCACACTCATGTGGATGCGACTGTGCGGGTGGGTAGGTAGACCAGTCGACAACACACACAGAGAGCGACACATGTGTGATGACTAAGTCACACACGAGAGTGCTAGTATTTCAACCAACCCATGCAGATCTCTGCCCTTCCTACGCCAACGTGCTACGCGATTCCTCTGACCGCTATCTCGGCCGCCCGGCCAGTCAAATGGTCAGTCAACCGACCTTGCACACGAGAGACGCCCTGAATCGCAACTGGCCCAGACACACAGAACTGGAGATTGCGTGTGATGATGCCTACCACGGCGACGGCAAGATGAGTTCAGATACGGTCGTGTGCGGAGCAGAACGGAGGGGAGAATGGACAGAAAAGAGCCTCGAATGCTGGAGTCAGTGAGCGAGTGAATCAGTCAGTCAGTGGGCCATGTGCGCAAAGAGAGATGACGCTGTCTGTATCTGAATCGAATTCTATTTGTTGCAGTGGACTGCGATCTGGCTGGCGAGCCGTGGTATGCCTTGACGGATGTTGGGGCGGCTTCCCACAACAGGTCTATCCACAGCGCGCCCCTCATGCTGGTGACGCCCAGGCGTCTATCAGACGAGAGGATGCGGCACGGCACGGCAGCCGAGGTGCGCTGCAGCGATGCCTACCCACCACTGAAGGGGCTGTCGGGCACAGAGATGCTCTGGTGCTACGACGGAGTGCTGGACCCCCTTGTGCTGCCTTGCAGAGGTACGTATGCCGACGCATACACATACACAGATGGGTGACTGCATGGCCGTCCCTCTCTGTCTGCAGCCCTCTGTCCGCCAGCATTGCTGTCCCCCCCGGACTACCAGTATCCCCTGCCAACACAGCGCTATGCGATCGACGGCCGAGGGTTCGAGGAAGGGTCGCAGCGTAGGCTTTCATGCAAGGGCGGGTATGAGCCGCCTGCGAACGCCATGTGGACTGATGACACGCAGACCATCACGTGTGTGGCGGGCCGATGGACACCCGTCCTGCTGCACTGTGGGGGTGCGCATGGCTACAGGGAGATTAACACCCAAAACTCACATATACACTGGCGGATTGTCTGGCTGTCAGGTCACTGCCCGCCTTTCCAGCTGCCCCTGTCCACCAAGCACACCTTCGTCACCACCCCTCCCATCGGGCAGGAAGACCGTCGGGAGAACGCCCAGATAACGATCGAGTGTGCACCGGGCCTGCACCCGTCCCCTGGGCGATCACCGAGGCAGAGTGTGGCGTGTTCCTGCTACGGCAGCAGGGAGGCATGTCGCGTCGATGAGGATCTGTGGCAGTGGGCGGACATTGACCTTCAGTGCGTTGGTACGGCCACAAGGACCACGCAGAGAGAGACACTGAGCACGCCGCTGCCCTATCTTTCCTCTCCTCTCACTCAGGCTCCTGCACCCCTTACGAGCTATCGGACTTAGGCTATGTCTCATCATACGTCGACCCTCGCGTTTCGCTCACGGCCGGGTCCGACGGGCGAGTGCCGTTCGGTGCAGAGGTGGTGGTGACATGTGATGCAGCTGCCAACTTCTCGGTGCCAGTGGACTCACAGACCGACTCTGAGACGATTCGGTGCCTGGGTAGTGACTACGACGTCCGGACGCTGCTGTGCTACAGCGAGTCAGTGTAAAGGGGGCACAGACATACACTGAGATGTGGATGCGGACCGCTCTGGTGTTCAGAGAAGTGTCTGTCAGAGCCTGACGTACCATCTGTCGGCTACACTGTGCAATGGACGGGTGAGTGAAACCTTCACTCCCCCCCTCTCTCTCTTCTTCGCAGAGCACACAGGTCGCTCTATCTCTCTCTTCCTCCCGCCAGGTGATGTGAGTGAGCCCTACCGTCACGGCTCCTCGCGTATCATTGGCTGCGAGAGTGGCTATTCACCTGAAGACCCCACCGTCATGCCCCAGTCCGACCGTATCGAATGTACAAACGGCCAGTGGACCGACAGGCGACTCGTGTGCAAAGGTGGGTGGGAACATAGGGAGGAGGAAGGCACCGTGACACTCTGTGTGTGTGTGAGCAGCTGACTGTGAGACGTGGCCCATTCTGTCTGATGAGCATTATTTCACCAAACCCTGGTCACAAGAGGAGCTGCTCGCACGGGGTGCGTCGTCTCACGGGTTTAGCATTACCGTCGCCTGCAGGTGACCGTGTGTTTGTGTGGACTAGTGTGGGCATGGACGTGTATCTCTGTGTGGGTCCAAGTACAGACACACAGGGGAGGAGGAGACCGTTACCTGTCATGACGGGCAGTACACTGCGCTTCAGAAGACGTGTGCACGTATGCATCATGTTACAACGATTCCAGCCGTCATGCGTTCCGCTGCCCATTGTCCTTTTCAGCTAGTTGTGAGGACCTGACCCTCATTCCCGTTGGCGATCTGCCAGTGTCCTCTGTGTACACTGTGGAGCCAGCTGAGGTGCTCATCGGCCCCTCACCGCATGGCACAAAGGCTGCCATCAAATGCAATACTGATGAAGGTACTTGCTTGGATCGACAAGAGACACAACACACAACGCCATGGTATTTCCACAGGTGTGGCTGAGGACACCGTCACGTGCCTCAATGGCAAGTGGAGCCCACAGACGATACTCTGCGCAGGTAGGCTGGTGAGCCACACACACTGACATCTGCCTCTCTTCCCCCATGTCGCCATTCAGTCGAGTGCCCGGCCATCCCCTCTCTCCTTCCCCCCAATGCATATGAGTTGGTGGCCATCAGGCGACCAACAACATCGCTGGCCCAGCTAGAGGGGCAGGAAGAGGTGGCTCGCGCCAATGGAGAGGCTGACGAGGAGATCACGTCTCCTCGTCTGCTGGAGGAGCTGATTCACTTTGACAAACATCCCCACGGCACGGTGGCCCGCATCCGCTGCGCTGAAAGGCATAGCCACACGGTCACAGCATCACTCGAGGCGAAGCTGACTGCACAGGAGATTGTGTGCGACCAGGGCGCATGGACAGAAGTGCCGATGAAGTGCTTCAGTAGGCACGTCACTTTGTTATTTCAGACATTAATCATCCTCTGTTCTCTGTCTATGTGCTGTGAATCACAGGAGCCTGCGGCCCCTTGCCGCCACTCCGCCACTCGGAGATGTACTCACTTCGCCTCACTGGCCACCGCCCGCACAACCACACAGTGGACACGTCCCTCATGAATGCACCCTTCCCTCACGGAACCGCTGTCGAGTACACGTGCAACAAGCATGCACGCGCAAGGCCTGAACCAGCAGAGCCAGGAGTGGCCCGTGTCGCGTGCAACAGCGGGAATTGGCAGCCGTTCCCACCGCACATCAAGTGTCTTCGTGAGCAGAGACACAATCGGACAACTCCTGGATGCATCAGATTTTGTTCTTATCAGGTCCATGCAGGAACTACACTGTGCAAGAGCGGTACACCATTGCTCACGGTGGTCGTCACTCACATACACATGGCGGTTGGGGACACGGATACTGGAGCGGTGAGAGTCTGGTCCTCCAATGCAACGCCGCCCGAGGCTACCACAGCACCGGCCATGCCTTACATGGGACGGTGGAGTGTCTCGACGGCCTCTGGAGCATGCCAAACCCGTCTCTATCTTGCCACAGTGAGTCATCATACATGAACTATCGCCTCACAGGCATCACAAGACGCCTTGTTCGTGTGGCTGTGCCAGGGTCTTGCCGCCCTTTATCTGATGTGCTGGACGAGCGCCGATTTGCCCACCAGACCATCCGGATACTTGATGACCTGCCAGACAACAGTGTTGAGACAGAATCAAGCACCTCCTGCTGTACACAGACAAGCAATGAGACCGGCATGGACACTCTACCTCGCCCACCAGAGCACGGTGAGACACTCACACCTTCCACACCACGATGCACGACGGACTGCCTGCTTGTCACGTGTCAAGCAGGCAGTTGTGTGATGGTGGGCTGCAAGGATGGTTACTCTCCAAGTGTGGCGCCTAGCCAGTGGCACAGCAGCGTGCCGTGTGCAGGTGGGCGGGTCGGTGTCTCGTCCTTGTGCGAGACGGTCGTGTGCACTGACGGCCACTGGTCGCCAAGGTCGTTCGAATGCAGAGCCATGTGTCCGAACCCATTCAATGACACACTGGCACCGGGAGTGACGGCGGCCGATGGCGAGGTGGTCAAGGGCATGCATGCACACGGCGAAACGCTCAAGATCGCATGTGCAGGTAGGCAGGAAGAAACCGACACTTAGCAAACGAAGCGAACAGCTGTGTCGCTTCTCAGATGGCTTCAGCGTGGCGTTCGGTGCCCCGGAGCAGCAGATAATCACATGCAATGATGGGCGATTCGACGTTGTCACTCTTCACTGCCACAGTACCCCCCACAACAAACATCAGACCAGCTCGGTCATGTCACTGTCTTCTCTGACCGTCACCAGAGCTGTGCCCGCCCTTTGACCACACAATGGAGGAGCACCTATCACCATCACATCCATCCACCAGTTCATACATCGTCTCACTCAGCCCCGACGATGACGCGCCCGAGACGCACATCGACCGCAGACAGATGATGCAACCAGACGCCACAGGCCGTCTGACGCGGTATTTCTCTCACGGGGCTGTGCGGTATGTCCGCTGCCGTGATGAGACGAAACGGCGGAGACACGGCGCTGCCCGAGCGGCGCACCGTGTGGTGTGCCGCGACGGCAAGTGGAGCCAGATTATCATCCACTGCAGACGTAACAATGAGTGCTTACATGCAACGAGAAGCAAGCGGTGAGTGAATAAAGCAGGGCGTTTTGTGGGTGGTGCATGCAGGTGGCTGCAGCAGCAGGTCATTCCCTCGGCTGTCGCCCTTGGCCTACAACATGACCTTTGCCGGCAGACACCAGGCACACCACAACAAACGAAATCCTCGAAGGATTCCAAGGCGGGCAAGGACGGCGACGTGACGATGGCGCTGGCGGAGGAGCGCACGAGGGCGTCCAGCCAGCCCGCCAGCAACCGCCTCAAGAGGAAGAGCGGTAAGCCCTTCTTCCCCACACACAATAGCCACACACCAAAGCTCTGTCTGGTGTTGTTTGTGTGCATTTGTTTGCTTGCCTCTATCGTCGTACACATGTGGGGATGGCATCCACACATGTGTGCTCTCTTTGTATGTAGATCTGTCCTGCTTCACTTGGTGCCTTCACAGCCATAAGTCTTTCGACTGATAGATAGGTCTTTTCTCATGAGTCTTTCATTTGTAAGGAGGGAGGGAAAGACATCAATATGATAGCAGGGTGAGACACGTACGTATCGATGGACTCACTGGACAACTCGAGTGAAAGCAATCCGCCACGCATCTGCGCATTCACCGATTCACGTATCGGTCCATCAAATGAAGTTGTCTGTTTGCTCGTTAGCTTGCAGCGTGCCCAGGAAACGAAAAGCATTTCGAGAAAAAAAGAATCAATGGGCCAGTGGGGAGGCACCTCAAGACAAGAATGACGGAGGGCAAGGAGAGCCGCACAGGCTCATTATTGTGTTTGCTCAATGGCCCCAGTTTCTTTGGCTGCTTGGGGGTGCAAGGGAGAGGCAAAGTCGCGATCATCACGTCAGAACCCATCGGAAAAGATGCTCCTGCTGCCGCTGCCGCCGAAAGACTCCTCGTGCGTGTCTCGGTCCCTTGAGCCAAGGTAAGCCGTTTATCAGGCGGAGAAGGTGCCACGGGTCGAGCTCGTGTCCATTTTCCGTTTAACAAAAGCCCCATTGGCAACCGCAACTCTCAACTGCAGATCTAACTGACCTCGGCGTTGGAGGAGGACGGAAGATCTAGGAGGGAAGTCAGACCGCTCCGCATCCGAGCTCCGACACGTGCACCACACCACTTCCCGCCCCCTCCTTGCTTGTCTGTCAAAGGTCCTCCGGATTTGTTTCTTCTGCTTCTCTCTCCTCGTCTCACTCACCCGTCGCCAGCCAAGGTGAGAAGCGAAGGCGAGGCAGGCACTGGTCATGGTGTGTTGTGTGCACTCTTGTCTGTCTGCCTGATGGCCTTCTCCAGCAACCATGCGCGTGCTGCTCATTTTCGCCCTGCTGGTTGTGTCCTCGCTGGCCGGCCCCGAGGGCCTGAAGGGCGGCGACGGCGGCAAGGCCAAGACCCCGAAGCAGGAAGCCCCGAAGCACGGGCCTGCTTTCACCACCTTCTTCGTGCGATACACGAGTAAGAAGCTGGTTGGCACTCCTCAATTAATGACAATTGCATTGCTCACATGGTCGGTCCCTTCCTTTATTGCTGTGCCCCAACAGATGTGCAGTTCAACGGTGGCACCTTCAACACTATCACGGTCGCCAATGAGTTTGACTGCCGAGAGGCGTGCCAGGATGACAACACGTGCGTTGCCTACACCTTTGATGGGGCGAACGACTGTGAACTCAAGGTAGGTGCTGTCCGAACGAAAAGTGCAGCCAAAGTGCAACCAACATACTTAGTTCTCTTTCTTTCTTTCCTTCTTTGCAGGGGCGGGAATCTACCACGGGGAATAGCTTCGCCACAGCGAACGACGCAAACGGCTTCACCTCTGCATTCAAATTGCTCGGCTCCCCGTGAGATCGGTCTCTTCGCCGGCATCTAATCGGTAGGTCAGAACATGAAGATCAGTGCTCAGGGCATGATGTGGCTGCGTGTGCCGCTGTGCACAGGATAGGCCTTTCCCCACCTGTTGCGGAGCGGACAGGTCGATTTGTGCGGCGCCTGGCATGGCAAATGGGGCCGGAAGGTGCATGTATTGCTGTGCGATGAGATGACGCGTGCGAACCATTACTTACATGGATGGATGGATGC